ACGTTGAGCAGCGTATTAATGTTTATTAATATTGAACATTCGTCTCGTCTTTCTGTCGAAATTCCTTTGATTCTTTATTTATTCCCGAACAATGTATGTCCGGTAAAGGTCGCTTTGCTTTCCCGTCTTATCGGTATCCTTGAAGCTTAAGATAACAGTAGAACGTGTGTATAAACATCTTACATGCGAGAGAGAAACGCGTATGTAAAATATTCCACTCTCAATGAACGGAAGCACTTGGACTTGTATCGATTGCGCGACTACGTCTATCGTACGATCGATAGAGAGTAGAAATGTTAAATAAGAGAGCTTTGGCGTGATGTTATCCCCCTTTAAGAGCAAGTGGAAATAAAATAGAATTTTAAAATAAGAGAGGCGCCCATAAATAGCGGGAGCAGCTCAGAATAAAACTCTTGGGAGAGAAATAAGCCAATGCACATTTCGTTGCAGGTTTCATAAAGAATTCAAGATGTCTCTCTATCCTACGCTAGAAGATATGAAGGTGGATCATATGATGAAGGTAAGCTCCATACGTATGTGCGTACAGTTGGATTATAATTTGCCGAATGGTGCCTATTGTATTATTCACAGATAGACTTACAATTGTAGAAAAATCCCGTATTATGAGATAGGCTTCTAATATGACATAGCGGAGTTTCTGCTAAATTAACAGGCATCGTCTGTTGGTTCCGCCACGAATTTGGAGTAAAATCTGTTTAGTGAAAAATTGATGGTTGGGTCGTGTAATCGTTGCGGGAAAAAAGATTTGCGATTGCGTTTGGACGTTGAAAACCTAACGTCTCGCATTAGAATCCTATCTCATCACAGGGGACTTTCCTCTATACTCAACATGAACGAGTTGTGTCGACTGAAATAACATTGCAGGCTCAGCTGCAGAACGAGTCGCAGTTTATCGCTTCGATACCGACTACGACTCCCTCGGCGCCGGCTTACGTTCCTTCTGCGCCCGGTATGCTGTACCCATCCTTGGGTGACTACATGGGCCTCGAGCTGACCGAAGATACCATTGCGCAAAATATGCCTGAATACGCACTCGCTACCCGTCAGAATGCGACTGATGTATGCCAATCGTTATATCGAATAATGCAGCCGGGTTTTTAGTTGTACCGTGAAAAAGATTATCCTGTTAAATTCGCTCCAGTATAAAAAGAAGCCTGTTTAAAAGATTAGTAAGCGTAATGTAGAAATTAACGTTACGGTTCAGGTGGCTCTCACTTCGCCGTGCAGCCCATTGGCAGGGATGGTCGCTCCTTTGTCAGGACAATCCGTGGCTTTGCAGAAAGCTCATGTAACAAATGGTATCCGAGAGGTAATAATTGATCGCTAAACCGATGCATATCTACGAAAATTATTCTTAAATTACATGGTTATATGCGTATCTTGCGCGAAGAATTGTAGCTTTTTAATTAAATGCTCCATCGGTTTTTCTTTCCTTATAGTTGACGCTTTGTAAGGACGGTGACGGGAAGGTTGGCGTTAGGGTACACGCCATAAACAATGGAGTCTTTGTCTGCCTCGTGAGTCAAAACTCCCCAGCGGCGATGGCCGGATTACGTTTCGGCGATCAAATTTTGAGCATCAATGACGTGTGCGTTGCCGGATACTCGATGGAACAAGTGCACAAGCTTTTCCGCAACGCCGATGTCAATGGGATAAAAGTGATCGTGCGCGACAGGTCGGACAATTCGCCACTTCACTTCACCTATAAAAACTTTAGTTTTACTGCTGCGCTTGATTAACAAACGGAATGTCGATTTTATTGCAGACCACTCGAGCGTACCGTAACAATGCACAAGGACAGTACCGGTTACATCGGATTTCAATTTAAGAACGGAAAAATAATTGCTTTAGTGAAAGACTCGTCGGCCACGCGAAACGGACTTTTAACCGATCATCAAATACTCGAGATTAACGGAAAGGTTCGCATGATGCAATGTCTACATTCGACTTAGCGTTCAGTAGAATACACAATAAATCGATAAATTTTACAGAACGTAGTTGGGTTGAAGGATAAAGATATCACAGTGGAGATTGAAAAGGGTGGAGATGTCATCACTGTAACGATCATACCATCTTACCTTTACGATCACATGATGAAAAAGTATGTATTTGTTAGACGTTAATTAAGCTAATATGAAGGTAATAAGTAACTTTTTATTAATCATTTAGATTGTTGTAACGCAATGCTTCTTTCCACAGAATGTCGAGCAGCTTGTTGAAGAGTTTGATGGACCATTCTGCGGTGGACCTTTAAATTGAAACAAATTGCCAGTTTCATACATTGCCATACAGCCAACTGTGCCAATAGGCATGTGCATTATTCTCCGTAGCTTCATTACAAAAAAAAAAGTAACGAGTACGCTACATATCCTACACCGTATAAGCACATTTATAAGATGCCAACCATATTTCCATAGCAAGCATATATGTGATACCCGTTTAAAAATAGCCTATATTGCATGTCGGAAGTGATGCTAATTGGCTACAAATTACGAAAAAGTATTTATCAGAGATTATTTTTTTATACAGAAGCACGTCTAAACTTGCGAAAAATATGCAGATTTAAATGTTCAACTCCAACTGCAAAGAGAAAGTTACTAGTTACATTTACTTTAATAGCAGAACAGTTATGCTATAAGATGAAATATATATTATATCCTATACTGCACGATTAAAAAAATCCATATCGTTATTTATAGCAGGGCCACTCGTAATTATATCGACGTTATATACAACTTATTTTCAATCTCTTAATTCTTTGAATGAGATAAAAACTCATTTTGTTATCATTTTGGGCATAATTGCCGTTTAAATTAGACATTTACAATACAACTTGTTTTAAATTTGAATATAAATTTTTTAATCTTGCTTTGCAATTAACATACTTTTACTTTAACAAATCACAATATTCTTCTATGTATGTAAAAAGTCGTATCGTGGAAAGTAGTGATAGTCATTAGATAAATATTAACTAGTTTTTATTACCTTCTATGATGAACTGTCCATTTTATATTATACAATAGTATTATTTATTTTTCGATTTTCTGTCTACCATATTTGTCACATTGGTAGAAACACGATAAAGTAAAAAAATAATAGTTAAGAAAAGAGAAATAAAATATGGTGTAATTTTTCCTCTCATACTTTTCGATATTTTCTTTGTTGATATTTTAATCGAAAATAATTTATATAGATCTGTAGCGTAGATCTTTCTTAGATCTTCTCTCGGTTATTTAAAAAAGTGGATTGATATTTTACTTTTCCAATCAAATTTTGTAAAATATGTTATCGTAGCAACTTATTCACTAACTTCAGAAACTATCGATTAATGCCATTCTTTTCAATAATATAAATAGAAATATATTAGACTTGATAGATGAACGTTCTTACATTTGAAAAAATTAAATAGAATTTAGTTCAACAATAAATGGATATGTATTTCAAGAATACTTGAGAAACAATTTACACTAGTGCCAATGTTATTTTACATGTAAATACCATATAAAATATATAGCTATGTATTGATTAAATAAATGATTAAAAAGGAAGAAACGGATGTTGAATAAACCTGAATAACATAGGTAATTGGTAATTTTTTATAACTTGTGTTGATTAAAATCATAAATACAGTTACAGATATATATTTTTTCTCCGTTTTCTTTTGTAATAATATATAATGTAAATGTCAAAGTTATGGTGTAAAAAATGAAGAGTATTTCTTTCAATATTGCAAATTACAAATGGAATACGATAATGTATTTCACGAATTTTACAATTACCGTATAAAAGATCCTTCTTTAATTACAATTTGTTAAGTTCGATATTGTTCATTTTTCGAGCTATCAAATGGATTTTCAGTCTGTTTCGAACATCTAGCTCGTATTATGCAACAGTAACACCAGCTCGTTGGAGATAATTTCTCAAGTGATTCGCATTAGGTTCGGGTAACTGGCTCAACAATCCTGGCAAATATCCCGGCGATAATCTTCCAAGGCCTTGCGCCAAATGCAAACGTATATCGCCAATATCTGTCAACATGAAATAATTTTATACATAAATATTCCCTATATGTATACACTCTATGTGTATATACAAGAATTCCCAATTAGATATTTTAACGCTGTCTCCTGAAAAAGTTTGATACGTTTAATCCAAAGTATACCGAGGAACAATGGATTAACGCGTAGCTCCATAGAGCAAAAGCGATTAACGCGGCAGATTTATCGATCGCTATCACCTCGTCTCAAATATGCACAGATTTCAAAAAAAGTTGAGTGGAAAGTTGAATGTTATAAATAAAACAGCGTGAGGAGGCGAGTGGTAGCCCATTGTGAGAATCCATATTCCGTTTACATTTACATATTTAGTAAAGTCACAAGTTAAATTAAACATGAAAGTATATTCATACTTTGCAATGGGTCTTTCCGAGGATTTCTTGCACAGATGAGTTGGCTGTAACCAACTTGGTAGCCAACCGCATCATCAAGTTCCGGAAACGCATCGTCCTCCAAGGTCTCATCTTGCGGTAGTTCGAAGAACTCGACCAAAGTGGCTAACAAGCGAGAATAGTGTATGTTGTACGGAGCTTCAAGCATTGCGGGGCAATCAATTAGCAAGTTCGAAATTGCGACAGCCACAACTTTTCGCTCGACCTCGCCTGCTATCTTTTGCAGGTCGGTTATGAACACGCGCTCCACCACCATTCCAAACATTCTAAAAATAAAATACCTGTTGTAATTTCTTGTACTTGCAAAAGATACGAGGAGTCTTTACATGTTTATAAAACTCACTGCGGCTGTATTTGGTCGATAATCGTAATCAAGCTCGACGATCTGTATCTAACAATGTAATATGCAAAAAATACTATTAGACCTTTCACAAACTTCGTTGTCTTCGACGTCGACAGCCTTTGGAAGAAGAGTACGAAAATTTGTTTCATATACGGTTCCAAAATGTTCCTGCAATATTATACTAGCGTTACAATGGATACAGCAATTGTTAAATAAAATATGAAGGGTAAAAATAGATATAAAAAATTATGTAAAATTTTTCACGAGCATTCTTACGGATCGAAGTTTTCAATAATGCTTTGTATTAATAAAAATCCTTCGTGATCATTCGCTTTCGATGCAATTAACTTCTGAAAGACTCCCAGTAGCGCACTCGTTTTATCCTGCGCCGCAATCTGATGCGGGCCACGACTAATAAACGCTTGCAACAAACGAATTAAAGGATGGATGTTGGCTTGATGTTCAAACAGTACAGGTGATAATAGGCACGGGAACAGAGCCATGTACGGTTCTGGTACATCCTGACTGGGCCGTAGCTCCAAGAGCAATGCGAGAATTTGAAAAACATAAGGAATAAACTCTGCAAAAAAAAAAGGTTCTAATATTGATATTCATGTGCAATTACAATTTGTAACATGTGCTATTATAAATAATTTACCCGGTATGTCCTGTTGTAAAATTCCTTGAAAGATGGGAAACAACGCCTGTTCAAAAGATGTTGTTGCCTCGGGATTCGTTTTGCAAACAATTCTGGAAAAAAAATGCAAGTTTCATCACGAAGAATGCAGATCGTAAAGTGTTAAATAAAAATACGAGAAAAATAAAATCTCTGAAATAATCAAAAAGCATTTTTTTCTAGCTCGGTAATTAAGTCATTATTAACGACAAATGCTTACTTAATGGATAAACTTAGGGTTTCAAAGAGATAATGATTAAAGTTTGGCCGGCTTGGATTCCGAGATACCATCGCGAGTTTCTCGGTAAGTTTCGGGAGTAAATCGGCCAGGAACGGCACCACAACCTCCTGCAGGATACCGAAGCTCCTCATGATAGCCTTCATGACGTATTCGTTCTCCTCGGAACCAGAAATGCTCATACATGAAAAAAGCCCTTTCAATAAATCCGCTGCTAGTGGAGCTATATCGGCCCCTTTGACTCTATAAAATTTAAAGTGGATTTTCAGTCTTGAGTTATACGAAACTTAGGCCCGGTTTCACGAAACGTCGCTCAACTTTAATCTTAGTTTAATTCATGTTTGTCTCTTTCAAAAGTAACAGGTGGAATGAGACAAAGAACGAATTAGGCTAAGCTTAAAGTTAAACAACGTTGGTGAAACCGGCCCTTAACAATCAAGATATATCTTACAAGGACAAATTATCGGCGCCCCTCATCGCGAATATCTTTTCAATCGCGCAAGCGGCGTAAGTGTGCACGACGATGCTGCTGGCGCTTAGGTGTCTTATTAATTGCGGCAAACTTCCTACCACCATTTCACGAGGTAGTATCGATCTGAACGTCATTACGAATTTTATTCCGTCCGCTTTAAGTACTGGAAACTCATTTACTGAAATTTGTTATTGTCATATTATAACTTTGTATTCATCACAGTACATCGTATATCAAGCGTTCTAGTTTTTGGGAAGCAATTGTGTTCAATTGCAACTTCTAAACTGCTCCAAGCACTCGGCAATTAAAAGCTCAATCAAATTAAATTACTCCTTTAGAATATATACATTCAATATACCGTCTGATTTTGTCAACTCGGGCTCGATGTGTTGCGCGGCGAACTGTGGTAAAGGAACAAGCTCGCTACTCTGAGTAACTCCGTGTCTCTGCGTCTTCGCTTTACTCGCGCTGCTAGTAACGAGATAAATGGCAGCGTCTTTACTGCGCCAATGTTTCGACGGTTCCTCGGCATATTTTTGCAGCATCACCTACACAAATATGTAAATTAATTGAAGATGAAATCACTATCGGTGTCTTTTCTATTACATTCATTCACCTGTATATACGCTCCGAAGATGTCCATAATCTTCTCTTCGAAGGATTTAGATAACACTTTGACTAAATCGCACGCGGCGCGTCTCCTGGTGTCCACGTCGCTGCCTTCGATATCTCGTCTGATATACTCCTCAGGATTGTCCACGAATAATTCATTGTCCGATTCTGCAAAGTTTTTAAGAATTCAGTAAGGCAAATATTCGTCACACCTGCACTGCGCGATTAAGGTACAATCACCTCTAAATTCCATGTTAGGAATAATGACTTTCTCGCAGATATTGCCGAGGGTCGCCGGATCTTCGAACAAGTGTCTGTATTGCGCCCGGTCGGCTACCGTAGCCAAGAATTGCAATGCATTTGATACTAGCTGCAACAACACGTCACCGTACAGGTATGCTTTTGCATTTTATAATTTGCATTACTTTCCTAGAAAACCAATTTCTGACTGAACGATATCTGGCGAGCTTTACTCACAGCGTCGTATTTGGGATTTTGACCTGTGGACGTGAGTAAATTCCACACCGCCGTAACAAATAAGGGTAAATAGGGTTGGAATTCCTCGTCGTATTTTAGGGCGTATAGGCCAACGTTATCACACACTTGTGACTTCAATTGCTCTATTACACCTGCTTCTTCCTCGTTCTTCAAAAGATTGCACATTAAAAGATCATTTCAATTCTACGTCTAAATAGGAATGTATATATAATTTTAAAACAGAAATTACCGTAGTCTTCAAGGAAGGAACATCAGCATGCAACAAAGTATGAAAGTTTCTCATCCATGCTTCCATATTGTCTTCAAAAAATTCTGGCAAATCCTGCGGTGATTATTCGTAGAATAAAATTCTCTTGTACATTTTAATAGACGCTACATCTGTATATACTTACTTGGAAGTTCAGGGAGTAGAAAACTTTACACAAGATAACTAGGGAATTATATATAACCTTCAAGGCTTCCGTATTATTGGCGTGTACTTGCGTTAAATTCATTGTAGCCTGTAAAGTAACTCATTGAGAAAACATATCTTTTTGACAATACTTTTCTAAAGGCCTGTGTCTACGACGCTGCAACTCGGCCAAGTTCTAGTTTCGAGAAATGTGTAGCTAGTCAACGTGCAGCTTTTATGGAGTAGCTGCGAGTCGATTGGCTGCACATTTGTCGGAACTAGAACTTGGACCAAGTTCTAGCGTCGCGGACACAAGCCTTGACGCATGTAAAGCGACTCGGCAAGTGTACTTACTAAAAACAGATCTGTTAAAGGCTTGGCGAACTTATCTAATACAAATTTTATCTCTGTCCATAGGCTCTCGCTTTTGAATTCGTATCTATATCTCTTAAATAAGGAATGCGCGGTGTGCAAGACTCCGTTGATCACATGGAAGTCGCCAGTGTTGAACTTCTCTACCATCTGATCGATCAACTCCGGCCACTTGTTCGGAAAGTCGTACTTCCCGATGATGGACACTGCGTCGGACAGCTGCTTCTGTATCGAATCCGGCGAGTGTAACATCAGATTAACAATCAGCTTCTTGACGGCGTCTCTGTCCTGGACGTGTATGTGATCCACCGAATCCTCCTCCTAAAATAACAATCTGCATTGACGGGCCATCGCGGAACATGTAAGGACGTTAGAGTAGACGAGCGATGTAAAAGAAAACCAACCACTTTCCAGTTGCGCTTAACATAATTCTTAAATGCGACCGCGCCGGCGATCCTAATCGTGATGTTGATCTCAGACTTGTCCACCAAGTGGAGCAGCAGCAAAGGATAATTCTGATTGATCTCCACCGACTTCAGAAACTTCTCGGCTAAAAGTCACAGGCGGATATCAATTAATTAACGCGCCGGACGCGCACGACGTTCGGGGTGTAGCGAGAATGACGGGGCTTGTAGGTTATACCGACCTGTGCATCTGACGTCCACGTCCGGGTTGAGGGTGTGCTTCAGATATTCGCTCAGCGTCACTAAATTGTCGTCGGTAAGCTCCATGGCGATGATCAGGGAAAGCGATTCCTTCCACTCGGCTACTCCTCCTTTCAAGGGACACAACACGGCGGCATCGGCGAACGAACAGAAAAGCAACGCCGCATATTATCGGCATTCGGCACGGCCGGCGTTCCGTTGCGGCAGGTTATACGAATTTCCAATCGACGCACCTCATTGGCTGCCGACTGGCGCCCGTGGCGCTCGGCAGAATTGGCGGGAATGCGACAATGGCTGCGTGCTCAGCGGCGTAAATCTCGGCAGAATCTAAGAGCACACGCCAATCGGATTCACGAATTTTGCAACAGTCGCGAAAGCGGCTTTCTCTGCGGAACGTATAGCCACTTGGAGGCACTCGGAAAAAGCGGTGTTTAAACACTTTTGAATTTAATGTAAAATTATTGTCGACATATGATTAAGGCCAAGTTTAACAAGCTCTTCGTTTAATAGGGTATTAAAATTATTTTACTGTCGAGTCTATGATTACATTTGGAATCTAGGATTGACGACAATCCTAGAGTCCAAATGTAATCATAGACTCTTCAGTAAAATAATTTTAATACCCTATTTTGAATAGAACACAAGCGATACTTTATTAATTGTAAAATTATTGTGCTCAATTAATGGAGAAATATGTGCTTACTTTTTTTTTACTCAATTATACAATTAACTAAATTATACAACTTATGTCCAATTATACAATAAATTAAATTAGATCATCTTTATAATTAATATACGAGTACATATGTATCGATACTGAAATCAACTTGTTAACTCAAATTACTTAAAAACAACTTAACATGTACAATATTTTAAAAAGTTATCGCGAGTCATCGCGAATTATGCATTAATTTTTATACGACAATTGCATATTTAATTTATATTTTGTCACAACGTTTAAATCCATTTCTATTCAATTTAAAGGAGGAAATCGATTATATTAGAACATATTAGTCTGTTTCTTCGCCTTAGACTCGTGAAGGGCGATGTTGCTCTGCTTTATTTTACTCTGTAGCTTGTTTAACGTGTCCTCCTCCAGTTTGACGTTCTTCATTAGATTATTATTGCACGATCTGTACAGAAAAACGTTGTGTTTAACGATTTTACGCGAATAGTAAATTTTACACGAGCATCTTCCTTGCCTGACGTCGAATATTGCACTATCAAGGTTCGACAGGTCGTCATCGTCCACGTTAGCTTCGGTATAGCCCAAGTCGTACTTTTCTCTCATATCGTTCACTTCTTGTTCTAAAACCGCCAGTTCTTCGCTAACTTTACTACAGTCCTTCCGATGGCTCTCAATCTCCTTCATCAAAACATTTCTAGACTTGAAAAATAAAAAGAATTCGCATTAATCGTTTACAATAATCAGAGAGAGACAAAGAGAGAGAGAGAGAGAGAGAGAGAGAGAGAGAGAGAGAGAGAGAGAGAGAGAGAGAGAGAGAGAGAGATCGGAGCAATACTAGAGCAAAATTCATAAGAATTGCTAAAAATCGTACGTAGTTCGTTATCCACTCAGAAAAGTCATTTGCGTATCTTCCCGTTTCCGACAAACAGTCATTCCTGAAACAATTAAGATAATTAATCAAGGTGATTTTCTTCGTCGAGGACCGTCGTACGTACCTTTCGAAAGTGTAAGGCTGATGGCAGAGAACGTAAACGCTTAAGTCCGTCTTACAATTAGTCGTAAACGTACGGCAAGGCAGAGAAAAACTTAAGTCGTATACAATAGACTTTCACGACTTAAGTTTTCCTCCGCCTTGCCTTATGCCTACGACTAATTGTAAGATAGACATCGTTTACGGAGCGTTCCTTGCCATCAGCCTAAGTCTTCCGTTTGATGGCCGACTGAATCAGACGATCAATGTCTCACGACAATTGTCAGGTTTTACCATTGCTTGTGCGATAAATTCGTTCGCGTGCTTTGCAGATCCTTCAGCTCCTGCTTCTTCGCGATGTGGGTCCTCGTGTTCTCCGATATCTTTTCCTCGACTTTGGTCACCTTTTGCGACAGCTTGTCCAAATTCGCCTCGATGTTGCAATTACTCTCGAACAACTTCGACTTTTGACTCTTCCAGTACTTCACTTCCTGGTCGGACTTCTCGGCCAATTCTCTCAACGTCATAAGCTGAAGCAATCGTTCTTTCACTCAGCGCACAAATACAGTACAAAAGTTTACAGTATATGTATATAATAATATCAAATCTGATAAAAGTATAATAAAATGTAATGAAACAACGCGTGTGTGAATTCGCGCGACTTCTCGCATAATGGAAATAATCATTTAGCAATATTGGTCTAATATTCTATCTAATATATGATACAATGTTAGACCAATATTGGCTAAATAAGAGAAGACGTCCATCCTACAATATCGGACCAATATTAGGCATACGAGATTTACATTATTTTCCAATATTGCGCCAATATATTGCGCTACTAGGGATTAGATTGCATGCAATTTCAATGTGAGTAAATAACAACTTGAGTGTTTTTATTGACCATACCTGGCATTTTTAATAATGCAGAAAATTTATTGCGAAAAATATTACCTCAGCCAGAGTTTGAACCTGAACTTCCCTACTCTCTAAGCGGGCGTCTCACAAATTCGACCACTGAGACGCCTGGAAAATTCAGGTTCAAACGCTGAGGTAATATTTCTCGCAACAAATTTTCCGTATTATTAAAAATGCCAGATACAATCAATAAAAACACAGAAATTGTTAATTACTGCTGGCGACTCGAAGAATATTCTTGTTCGTTAAACAAATAAGACTCTTATTAATTTATATAGAAATTGCATGTAACCTAATGTAATCTGATCGTATTCAAGCTATCATTTTAAACAGAACTCCGTTTCCTCGAGGAAACGACCTCGCAGTTTTCTACCGCGTCTGTTTTATCACGACGATTCGATTCCGTCGCGCGAAACAAAGCTGAAAAGTAGGAA